ATATACGAGTAATTTCTGCCTGGCCACGATATCGCTCATCATCAAGGAATTTAAATTGGGTTCTTTGACTTAAAATTCAACTTGAGCAACATTCTCAAATGAAACCACTTAAACCAACACCAACACAACAACAAAATAAAATCAATTAGATTTTTACTAGTTCCATAGTATATATAAAGTGTCTTTTATTATCCTTGCATAATCACTTTACGCTCCTTTCCCTTCTCTCCCACAAATAATTATGCTCTTAATAGAGAAATTTTCTTACTTCCCTTCCTGTTTATAATGATTAAACAAATGAATCCTTCACAATTGCTTATATGTTTGGTTAAAATGCTGCTCCACAATTTTGTAATTTTACATATTTGTATTTGCGTCTTGTCGCAATTTGTTCATGTGCCAGCAGGCTATGCGAAATTTCATAACATGCAAATAAAAAAAAACACAAGTTGTCGAATTACAAGTTTAGGAGTTTTTTTTTTTTTTTAACGGGAAGGGAAATTATCTCCCAAGTCAAAAACTCTCCTCGCATACAATTAATTGTGCCAGTTTATTTGAGATAAAAATATATTTTGATCAGATTATTTACAATTCTAATTTCTACAAGGTACAATCTAGGTGGTCTGAAATTATATATATAATTCAAAGTTATAAGTAATACGTGCGTCTAAAATTAAGCACGATATGCAAAGCTAGTATTTCTCATAATTTTGTACTTTCTTTTTTGATACCATTTATGAATAAATATTCCAATTGTTATAAAAATTGTGACGGTGAAAATTCCAGTTAATAAACCAGTTACAGCAACTATTATATTTGAAGTATCTGGTAGATTTTCATTTGAACCTTTTGGATTTAATGATGTTTGATATGAATATGCAAGTTCCGGATCAAATCGATTAACCCAAGTATAATTTCTAACATCTAATAAATAAATTATCGAATTTTTATTCGCTAATGGAGGTGCATTTTTTCGAGTCATATTTCCTATATATATATAACACAAATAATGTTAATATTAAATCTTTAGAATCTATAAATTTCATGTAGATCGTCACATACCAAACGCAACAAACATATAATTTACCACCATTTTTGCTGTATGAAACGAAAGTGATGGAACATCACCAGCATTTGATGATATTTGCGGGGCAGTCCATTCAAATGGAGTTGTTCGAGTATTAAGTACTGCCAAGTCAGGAGTAGCTTTAACATTTAGAATTTCTTCAGTATCTCTCACTCCACCATAAATAATTATTCTTCCATCACGAGCTAATAATGAATTAATAATACAAAGTTTAAAATACGTTTAAATGTTTTTTTTTTTTTTTTTTTTTTTGCGAAAATACGATACCTAATGCAGCCGAATGACCAAAACGTGATTCAATGCTAGTATTACTTTTTGTTCGCTTAATGAAATAAATAAAAATTCAAAATTTATGTATGAAATGAAATTCACAAAGGAGCGTTAAAAATATAAAGTGCATACCACTATCGACCAAGATGATTTTTTTGTATCATAAATATGAATTTGATTCATGTCTACGACATCTGTAATGACGCTATCAGTTTGTTCACGACCTCCAATGAATACAATCCTACCATCGGGTAATAACGTCGCAGTATAAAGATCTCGGTTTAAAGGAGCATTGGCGATAGGACCATTTGACCAAATTAATTTCTGAGTATTTAATATTAACATATCATTAAAAAGTTGAATATTTTCTGATCCCAAGTTCTCATCAGTTTCTCCACCAAAAACATAAATCTTTCCATTATCAACGGAAGCATGAATGTTTCTACGCCTTTCTGGCTCCTTTCCTTTAACTACAGTCGTTTTCCATTTACTTGTTTTTGGATTAAATGTATGTACTAGATGGGAGTCAAATGTATCTTCATTATTTTGATCTCGCGTCATTCCTCCAATCAGGTAAATAGTCGGGTTATTATCATTCTTAGTTAATGCAGTGGCCGCAAATGCGCTTCTAAAAGGAATAGCAGATGAAACTGACATGTCTTTCCATGATGGTGTTTCGGTAATAAATGGCTCTGATAAATCTAGGTAAAATACTTCATTTAAGACATTATTGTTATCATCAATTCCACCAAAAAAATAAAGCTTCTGTCCAAAAAGGACAGAGGATTGAGCCAATCGCCCTACAGGAATAAATGATTCAACTCTAGATACCAAATAACTTAATATGAGGATGAAACAATTAAGCGATTTATACTTTTTGCAAGTCATATTTTTAATAATTAACATAGAATCTGTTCAAAAGAAAAAAAATAAAAAATAAAATAAAACAAAATAAAACATTAAATGCGAGTTATAAAACTTGTTCGAAAAAAAAAATTTTTTTTTTATTATGATCCCTTAATTTGATTAATTGGTTATGATAAGCTGCATGTTATGCACATTCTGAAACAACCATTTCTCGCCGACATGCGAACAAAAGACATTTTTGCCTACGCTCTATAATTACAAAATTTTCAGTATATATAGTTATACTGTATAATGATATAAATTTAAATCATATAAATCATATCATATAAATAAATATACACATATATGCGCCAAGAAGCAATTGTTTGAATCGGACATGAACAATGATCTCCGAATTCTATACGATATCCATGATTGGAGTATTTCCGTCAAATCACCCAACTTTAGATGGTAGATCACAATGAAGTTTATGATAATGACTTTTTCCGAACACTATAAATTTGGTAATCCTACACTCTTAATTCTAGCCAAATTCTTAATTTCGATCCATTCAAATGATTCCGTCACGTGAAATAAAATTATAGAGGAATAATTAGATATATATATATTTTCTAACGTTTAAATTTAATTTTTTTTTTTTTATGACGCTTGAAAAACTCAATATTTAATAATTTAATCTCAAAAAAAATCGAATTTATTTTAAGTGGCACAAAAATAGGCGTAATTCAAACCACCAATCTGCGATAGTAGAGTAAAAAAAAGGAAAAATAAATTATCCGATCCAATTAAAAAAAAAAAATGGAAAAAAATTCATAATGATCCAACTCCGAAAGAGAAACCCTTAAGAAAAATGTTGATCAATTAAAAGCGCAGAAAATAAAAAAGACTTGATCGCTGCGACCGATCAATCAAAAGTTAAAAGTAAAAAAAGAAACTAAAAAACACATACCGCGTATTACCAAGCCAAAAGAGGATCCAAAATTTTAATAATTCATAATTTTAAAAGTGAAATTAAATTGTCCTATTGCTGCGGACCAAAGCGAAAGAACTCAAAAAAAAAATGAAATTAAAAATGAAACTTTTGAAATACATTTCGCGATACTTCCATAACGATTGAATCGAATAGTAAAAAAAGATTCCAACATTAGCTAATACAAACTAACGTTTTATAGCGAATTTTTAATTTGTGTAACGAATTAACAAATTTTCTTTTTTAGTCAAAGTATCACCATAAACGTTAATAAAAATACAAGATACGTAAGTTAACTTTATAGATTATTTTTAGATGTAATACAAATCCTTTTTGTTTACGGGGATTTTTTTTAATATAAAATTAATTCTTTGTTCACACCACACGAAATTCGGCTTTTTTTTTTTTTTGCTTAATTTTGAAGACAATTTTTGAACTGATTTATTTTTACCAAATTTGAAGGTAAATTAGAAGATTTTTTTTGAAAACTTGTGTGGATGAATCATGAAAAAAAAATTTTATCTAGTTAGAATTAATGCGCAGTATCCCGACAAGTGAAAACATGTACCAGAATCATAAAATTTTCTTTTATTATATATCGCCTCTAATAATTTACTTTTCTCTATGTACTCCTCGTCATTTCCTATTCTTTGGTCATAATATCATAATAATAATACTGTATATTTACAAATTTGCGAAAACTAAGATTTATTTTGCATGAAGCGTTGCGCTAATATGAATTTCATCTTTTCTCGAACAATAATAATTTTTTTCTTTATTTATAATGTACCTGTAATGAATCTCAAATTATCAGCTATATGCCCGCAGCTGACATAGAAATAACAAGAAGTCGATACCAAGTTCATTTCGGTAGTTGACTCGTTTCTTATCCAAAGTAGGATAGAGTGTAAAAATAAAATCAAGTATTATTGTAGTATTATTTATTATAATGCGACCTCGTTAAATAATTTATTGACCCCGACTCATAGCCCTTAGAAAAGTCAGAATTTTGATCTTAAATTAGAAATTAAAGTGAAACTTTTTTTTTAAAAAAAAAAAAAAAAAATGTTAGAATTCAAATTTTTATTATTAAATCTAATACCACTTTATTTCAACTCGACTTTAAAATTTTCCGAGTACAATGAAATTGTATTGCTACAGTATTTTGCGTAGAAAATTTACCATTATTAATAAAAAATTATCCCAAATCCTTCATAAAATAATATAGTCTTATCTCGTATTATACGACGTTTAAGGACGGTGTAAAATCTCACAAAATAAATTATCGACGACCAATTCTTATTTTCGACCTTTTTCATCAGAGGCAAAATGAAGCGTAATAAAGATGAAGAAAAAATCCATTGACGCGAGTCAGGAGAATTTATTTAAATTCCAGCAGACGTCCTACTTGGTGCCTCTCCTAGTTCATGCTGTTCTCTACAATCCTTATAATTACTTTTCATGTAAGAAAAACATTCTTATTACTTTGAAAAGCTTTTCACATTTCTTGTCATTTGCTTTATACAAGTTATTTTCAATAATCATGGTTAAATATTTTTCATTATTTTAACTATTTTTTATTTTATTTAAGTAAATTACTAATAAAATGTTTGAGTGTTAACTTTTAATTTGGATTTGTTCATGATTTTCATCAGAAGTGAATGGTACCATGTCGGAGTTCTGTTTGCTTTATCTGTTTTTAAAAAAAAACGAAGGATGTTAAAGCAGCCTTTCTGACAGAAATTCGACTCAATAAACAATCTTTTCTGACGGATATGGACTTTGCGCAAATTTCTGCGGCACAACATGGCACGTCCAAGTGTAAAAATTCCATTATGCCAATGGCGTTCGCAACGTACTATCGAAAAGAATTGAAAAAATTCCAACAACAAATTATGTATAATTAATTCACTTGTTGCAAATGTAAAAATTTTCTTTTCATTGAAATAAAATTCGAATCAACAAGAACTACTACTTTACATATAAAGTTTTAGAAAATCATATATCGAATACAAAATTCAACTGAAAGTATCAATTTTTGTTTCCTTAGTACGCCTTTGAATATATTTATGGAAAGAATTGTATTATGATCATTATGGCACGATCATCTCCATCGCGATTATCATTTCTCCAAGATTCGACTCTAAGGTTCGATTTTATCGAATATAATCGATCGATTCATTGACACTTAACTCAACGATAAGGGATATATATGCAAATTAAAAAATAATTAAAAAATATTAAAAAAAAATTTTAAAAAAAACGCGGGAGAAAATTAAACAATAAAAAATAATTTAATAATAAAAATCCGCTATTATAAAATAATTTGTATTTTTTTTTTTTTTTTTTATATCCGCGAATTTTTTTTTAACAAATTAAGAAAACTGAAAAAAATAAATTACATTTAATGTTAGAAATTGGATTAGGGTTAGAGTTATTTATGTTTAATAAAACTACAATGATGAGTTAGTGTTAATATTAGGATTGGGTTTAGAGTTAGTGTTGGATTATTTATAAAAAAATCATCTAATAAATCGTATACTTATTTTAAATTTGATACGCTAAAACTTTAACAAAATTATTTCACGTCATGTTAGCTAACCCCCGGGCCTCGCTCGGATAAAAACGCTAGTTTAATGAGCCATATTTTCCGCAAAATATCACGTTCCAGCGATTATAGAGTTCTCACAATAAAATTGTTTTCACATTTTTAAAAATTCGACGAACAATTATTCCAAATCGTGCAGACGCAAAATCCACAATATCGAATGTGGAGGTCAATGTCAGTGGGTATGTAACTTTCTAAGCCAATACCTAGTTTTATTGAGTTGGAAAGTTGCTATTCCCGTACTAAACCGTAAATGAAAACATACAATTGGACAAAGACAATAAAAACATTAGATATTGAGGTGTTTTTATGTGATGTTATGCTTTATGTTCCTTTTTCATGTTGATCTTCTACTTATTCTAGGGAATTAATGGTGATATTTATTCTGAGTCCTGATACTTCCAATATCCTTAGTACAAGGTTAGGTTTGTAAATGTAAAAATAAATTGTTTGTTTAGCACCATCATGGAATTATTTATCAAATGCTGATAGGAAAGAAGCATATCCGTCAGTTGCACCCAATTATATTGTGGAATTACGTTCAGGAAGTTATCCAACTCGGGAAGTCATTAGGTGATCTGCTTATTGATACTTATCTAGGTTAATAGTGTCGTTTGGCCAAAAGCTTTGAATCCTCCAATGGTAACTTTAACAACTTTTGATATATTTAAGCCTTTTGAAAGTAAATTGTTTGAAGTAAGTATCGCTGAATAAGCAAACTTGAGACATCGCAATGAATGAAAAAATTGCGATGAACTTTTTGCTTTCAATATCTATTATGGCCTTTGGTATGGCAAGTTCCTGACTCTTGTATATTGTAATTGCTCATATAAGATATATAAGAACCTGTAACTGTAAACATTGCGTCTCAGCTGTACCATTCCAAGTTCTTTTAATAGGCATAATGGAATAACTTTCACATCTTTAGAGTTAGAAATAGTAAGGCTTTCGTACTTTTTAAAATTGATTAATATTACTACAGAAAGAGAAAGTAACCCCTTTTTTCAAATAGTATATTTTATATAGTTGCCATTAAACTGTTGATTAACCTAATTTTAGTTTATTATTATCATCATATGTACACTCCCCGGTCAAAAGTATTGGACCACTTTAAAATTATCGCAATTTTTAAATTTAATAGCCAACTTTAATTTTTTAATTATAAAAAATTTTAATAAGTA